TCCCTCCCATCCCCTAAATCCCTTGGAGAAGACAACCACAAGCAAACCTAGTGTGTTCAGTAGAACAGCCAGCTGGGAGGAGGGTGAAAGAGCCTGGTAACCTTCTATTAGGTAGCTTCTGGTCTGTTCATTTAATCCTGACCAGTAGTGGTAACACTGGATACATGAGAGGCATTCCATAAGATAATTTTTAAATATCTCACCATCTAAAACCCATCTGACAATTTGTATCTTGTCAGTTTTGTGAAGGTGATGTCTTAGACAAAGCTTTCATAGCAGTTTTCCTGCAAGGGAGGCATCCACATACACAGTGGATGACTTTTGAGGTACTGAAAGTGTTTAAGTTTCTAAATACAATCATAGATTTATATCTTAAATGCAGAATTTGCCCTTTAGCACAGGCCTTTGATTTAAACCATCTTGTATAAAGTTACATGAATCTCACTTAAAGCTTTACATGTGCTGTAGCTACAAGACTTAATCAAAGGGTGATTTTTTTTTTTTTGCTGCCTCTTATTCTGCTTCCTGTATCTTGGATCTCAGAAAACATTTTCCAATTTAATATCCAAGGCACCACTTTAAGACAGCATTTTTTAAATAGCATGCGTCACAGCCTCCGTAAGACTGAAGGGATCATATTAATATGAGTTATCTGACTTGGGGAAAATATAAGGTGTATAGACACCAAATGACAGCAAAATCTTAATTGACAATTGGATATGAAAAAGAAATCAGCATTTCCCATAACTGATGATTGGTTACCAGGAAACTGACTTAGTTCCCTTTTGGAATTTACTGGTTCATTAGCTATACTGGCATCAAATTCCTAACTTTTTGCAGGACATGTTTTATACAAAATCCTTCCCACTTGCATTCTTGAAAGTAAGCCGAAATTCCCCCCAGAAGGTTTCTTAAAATGTTAATATCAAGGTGCCATTAAAGATTTTTTTTTAAACACAGTTGGGGTTGAGTGACTTGCGCAGGATCACACAGCTAGTAAGTGTCAAGTGTTTGGTCTGAGGCTAGATTTGAACTGGGGTCTCATGACTTCAGGGCCAGTGCTGTATCCACTGCACCACCTAGCTGCCTCTAAGATTAAATTTTAACTGATCTGAAGAACTGCTTTTATTTTGCAGTGTTAGGTTATTCACAGCTCTGAGTAGATCTGAGATGTTTTAAATAAGCACTGGCTTTTGTGGACTATAAATTTTAACACCATGTGTTGGTTGGTATTCCTTTAAGATTGGGCCAGGTTATTGCCTAGAATGCCTACTGTGACTTAAAATATTATCTGCCTTCACCACTGACAGCAGTAGCACCAAACCTGATCTTTGGTCTCATTTGTGTAGTGCTTATTCATTTTAACAATACTTTATGGATCTGAGGTCAGAGCATCACTGTTCTCCCAAATTAACCCAGAGAGCCTGATCTTTGTGATTCACATTTCTTGCTTAAACTATATCCTTTATATTATCTACTAGACTCATGGTTTCCTATAATCAGATTTTCTGCTGTAAGGGACTTTGGAGATCACATAGTCTGACATTCATTTTATAGGTGAGGAAAATGAGGCCCAGAAAGGCGTTTGCCCAGTACCACATAGGTAGTAGTAGCACTCTCCTGTTTATAGAAAAGTACTATCCTTTTGGATATTTCTATTGGGATATGCCTAGGAAGAAAATCATATCAATCATCTGTTTACTTTACACAAATGGCAGGATTAGGATTCTGACAGTGAATGAAGGAAAAACTATATTCTGCCATCTTGAGGCAAAAATGAAGTTCCAGGAGGCCAGATTCTAGAACACATCTCATACCACACAACAGATGCCTCATAAAAGTTTGAGCCAAAAGCATCCCCACTCATCTAGCCCTTCAGGAAATTCAATTCCACAAACAGTGAACAGTTATGATGTTCAAAGCACTGTGTTAAATAAAAAGGGGAAAAAACTGCCTAAATGGATACTAAGTATGTAGCCAGAGCTAAATGCAAATTTCGGAGACAAGGACTCAAACATGTTGGAGCTTCCAAATCTGATCAGTAATTGGCTAGGTCAGATCTTTAATTGGCTAAGGGTACCTTGTTCGACCAACCCTTTTCCTCCTCTACAGGAGTCTCTGTAGGGCCTGTTTTCCTTTCTAGTTAACAGCTTAGTCTTTAATGCTCTCATTTGCCCCAGAAACTGAAATTTCTGAAGACAGCTGACATCTACATTTAACATTTTTAAGCAGTTGAAGATTCTCCCTCATTCCCAGATCTCTAAATCAACTCCTTGCATATTCTGTTTATAAAGAACCTTGAGCTCTTATGTTCTTTATATTTCCATATTAGGTCTGGCAGTGTCTTTTTCAAGTGAAATCATTTTCATGCACCTTATTTGGGTTACAATTTGGGCTGCTTCCCCACTGGCTTCTTGGTATAAAACACACACTCATGCACTTCTTTGGCCTCAATGTCTCCAGACTCGAACCTGCATTCCAGCAAGTATCCTGGTGGCAACTCTAAAACCTGCCTAAAGCACTAAAATGCTATGCAACACCAAACTGGCATCCCACCCCCTTGAAATCCTGCTCAAAATTTATGTTCCTTTTAGGTGAGTTTTACCCCACAATTACCAACATCAGTTTCTGGTGGTTGCAGTTTGCCTGGTCAGGACTTTTTTAGTTTTGTTTTCCCTTTAAGCAGCTGACAAGTCCCCTTTTACAACCCACGATGGGGGCCTGTTCTGTTCTCTTTTGGGTGTGAAATATGAATCATGTTTTTATGATTTTTGTAAATCTTTACTCTTTTTACACCTTGTTTTTGTAAGCTGAAGTTTCTTATTAAAAGAATAAAATCCCAGGGTCTTTGTTAACTGTCTTTATTTCAAACATTTTAGGAGAAAAAAAATCTTTGTGTAACTGAAGAGAACAGCAAATATCCTTGCAACACACTCCCTGCCTGGCATCTGCCCAACCTGCAAGGATCTGGAAGATATATACGATATATGGAGCAAAGGCAATATACCTATACTCAGACCATGCCTAAGTAGAGACTGAAGCTATGGCTGATCATAGACTGACCAAGGAAGAAAGATATCTAGTGTACAGAAGGGAATGTAGCAAGTCTGAATCAAATTTGTGGTAGCCAGTCAAAGCAGGTCTTCTGATGGTCATGTCATGGTCATAGCTGCAGGTTGGATAGAGCTTCCAAGAAACTGCATTCAGATCACAGAAGGCAGTATTAGAAATGAAGTCACTAGTAACATCTGTGGAAAAAATACATTGGACTTGAGTTTTAACTTTCTGCTTTTCACTTCCCTACACTCAATGGATAGGGAATGTACATTAAGATGTAGACATGATAACTCAAAAGACTTTCACTTGTCCTGTGTATGCTTCTAATAGCTTGGGTACTTACCAGCTGTGCTACAGGCCTGGCTGGGGTGCCATCAAGTCAATGTCGCTCAGGTTCCTAGCCAGCCAGACACCAGCAGCAAAGAGTCCCAAATTAACTATCAAATTCCTGGAAAGCAGAGAAATCTTTAAAAGTCCTAGCATTGGTGAAGGGCCTAATTCCCCTATAACACCCAGAGAAAAACTTACCTTCCAGGGGAGGCAACAAAAGTAAGGGGACGTTTAAACCCTTTCCTCAAATGCCAGGATTGTCATTTAGGGTGCTTTTGATTAGCACCCTAAAATTCAAGGACAGCGTCAAGACATAGATAAAAGAACTACTTACTATGCCTTAAAGAACAGGAACTGCCTACCTCTAAAGAGAAACTGGGCAGGCAGGAAAAGAACTGGAAAGTCATTACAGATTCCCAATTTCTGAGTGGGGTCCCCAGAAAAGCAGGTGGAGAAATTCAGACACCAAAGAGATGGTGAGTGTTAGGGCATAATGAGTCTGGAAACAGGTTCAAATCACAGTGATTAGGTGTTTCGACTTTTCTGAACCTCCTTTCCTCGCCTGCAAGACGTAGAAAATGTTTTTATCTACATGACAGGTTTCCCCACAAGTCCTGTGGGAAGTCTCATATGAAAATGTGGGCTACTGTTATAACAGCAGTTCGCATTTAAGGATAAAATGAGCCTAGGCGATAAAACGAGATAAGCAAAAGAGGCCACAGGAAATTCTCTTGCCCTGCCTGATGTTGGGAAAATGGAACTATGGACCTAAAAAGGCCTTCAGAGTTCATCTAGTCCAACTCTCCCTTAATTTTACAGACGAGGAAAACAGGGAAAACCATAAAAACAGCGGCTTCCTCACGCAGGGAAGGTGACTGTCCCAAGGTGACACCGCGTGTCAGTGGCAGAGTCAGGCCTGGAGCCCACGTCCTCGCGCACCGCCCCCCGCCCCCGCTGGGGCCAAGCCGGGCTTTGGGGATCCCTCCTGCAACCACAGGAGAAGGAAGGAAGGGAGGAAGGGGAGCCACCCTGCCCCCGGCCGAGGGGAAGGCGAGGGAGAAGGACCCAGTTACCTCCGGAAGTCGTTCCTGTCGGTGGCAAAGCGATAGGCGCCCCGCAGCCACTCCCCAACGCCCTCGGGGGCTCCCGTCCCTCCGCCTGAGGCCCCTGCAGGAGGCACCGCCTGAGGCGGCACCGAGGACCCGCTCGCAGCCATGGCAGGTAGTCCCAAGGCCTCAGCTCCACATGGACGCGACTCAGCAGCACGACCTCCCGGCGCCCCTTGTTTATGTCACTTCCGGCCAAGACCTTTCCTCCTCCTCCTCTTCCCCTCCCTCCACGTTCAGCCGCAGTTGGGCAGCTCAAAGCCGACAGGGGGCGAGCGTGCACTACGGGCCGGACACGCGGTTGGGAGAGCAGGGCTCTTCCAGTCTGAGAGCTGGGTTAGCCACCCTACCCAGCTAGTCACTCACACGTGGGGTCACGGGGTCACTGGGTCCGACGGCCAGGGCTTGTAAAAGCGTGGAGCCAAAGGGTGGAAAAGGGACCTAAGATATGAATTCTCTAGTCCAACGCAAATTTGAAGAGAATAACCACGAAAGAGGGAAAATGAATTTGTTCAAAGTCACACGGCCAGTTTTATTTACACCATTGTGTCGGTACACCAATCAGTCAGTCAGTCAGTCAACCAGCACTTATTAAGTGCCTGCTTGCTTGGTGCCTGGCACAGTGCCCTCATTCAATGTTAATAAATACTTGTTAACTGACCCCCCCAGGTTTCAGAACTACCTGAGCTTTCACTGAAGATGTGGTTAACCTGAGGACAGCTGTCAATGCAAGGCTAGTACTTGTAGCTCTATCTGGCCTGGCAAACATGGAGCTGGGATAGTCCCAAAAGGCTGGACCTATTTGAAGATGAAGAAAAGTATATGCCAGTCAGGAAGATGGGTATCTTCACCCCACAGCAGAATCCTACTCACTCTCACCCCCAGGGCTGGGACCTGAACCCCTGCTCACTGCTGAATGTCAGTGTCCTTGGTTGCAACCTCCTTCACTGAAGACTCCAGGCTCCATTTTCTAGAGGGGGGAGTCTTCTGTCTGGGACAGATGCTCAGGTTCACACTTTTTCACCACCTGCATCTGAGGCAGTAGTAGTAAGGGTAAGGAGGGCAGAATTCTAGCAGACCCTACACTGTCTTCCTGGGGCTCTGCCCCCAGCATGTAGGTGGAAACTGCCAGGATCAGCAGGACTCCTATCCCCAGGCTGGGGTAGAGGCTGTCCCAGAAAAAAGCCATCAGGCTCAGAGTCCGAAGAGGAAGAGCAAGTGGGGCAGGGCCCATCTTCCCTTGAACGAGGAGTCCTCAGAGAGCGACTTTGTCTTCTCTTTTCAGAGCTCTTCTCAAGGATCCCAGGACTGTTTAGGAAGCTCTGGGGAATCTCATCTTTCTCATCTACAGGGCTGTCTGTAGGTTGCTCAATACTGTTTTCATGGCAGGAACTGGAGCAGACAGGAGTAGGATCTTTGCTCTGGGAGGCTGTGAGAAAGGAAACAACAAAGATCAACCTATCAATCAATCAACAAGCATTTATTAAGCATCACTCTGACCATCCTCAATCTTTTTGCTGGACCATTGTCCCATTGCTTTAATTGGAGGCATTCAAGGCTCCTTTTCAGTTTCCTTTTACATGTCGTCTTTCTTCATTAGAATGTAAGCTCCCTGAGGGCAAAGATTGTCTGTATTTGTATTTCCAGTGCTCAGCACAGTGTCTGGTACTGTAAGTGCTTAATAAACAATTTTAGACTTGACTTACCTGTAACCTGTTTGGCATTTAAAGCTCTTCAAAAACCTACTTTTCCATCCTTATACATTCCGTTTAACACAATCTGTGGTCCAACCAAACTGGCTTTACTTTTTCACCAAGAATAATACTTCATATCCCTGGTCTACACCTTTGCACCCTGGCTATTCCCACCAAATTTGGAATGCACTCCCACCTCTTGTTCCTCTCAACAAGCAAATACCTACTATGTGCCAGGCACTGTGCTAAGCACTAAGAATGCAAAGAACAGCAAAAAGTTTCTTTCCAGGCTCTGATCAAATGACACCTTTTGTAAAAGGCCTTTGCTGATGTCCTAGGGGCTAATGCCTTCTTGCAAAATTACTTTGTATTTATTTTGTGCATGCTTCTCTCTGTAAATATGTCCCAGATACAATGTATGCTCCTTGAGATAAGAGACTGTTTCACTCTTTGTTATTGTATTCCTACTACCTACCACTTAAAAAATGCTGGAGGACTGATAGTTTGATACTCCCTATCTGGAGCTGGAGCTGCAAAGACACAGGACCTAGAAATTTAAATTTATAGCTGGAAGCGATTTTAAAGGTCATCTAGTCCAGCTTTCTCTCCTGACAGATACAATACAGCCTCTTCCCTACTGGCAGATTCTTTACCCTCAGAAACTCAACCCTTAATGGGAAGAGCTTCACATCTTGTTTTTTAAAACTGTCTTGAGACTTCCGCTTCCGGGAGCCAAGATGTCGGAGTAGAAAAGGTAGTCTCCCTCACCCTCCCCTATCAGACTCTGAAAACCCAGAAAATATCACCCCAGAGGAAAAAACCAAACAAACCCTGGAACAGCTGAACTAGAAGAAAGACAGGAAACAGCAGTGTAGCAGCCCAGCAAACAGGTCTCCCAGTGCCTCAGCAAAAATAAGGGAAGCAGTACTACAAAGGGCCCCAGGCAGATAAACACCTGAAGCTTGCATCTGAAAGGAGCTGAAGAAAGCAACCTAGAGTCCTCCTAAAGTCCCAGCCTTGCTGATTCCAACCCAACACCAGGTAAGCTGTCAGAACCCTACAGCCTCCAACTGTCAACCAGGAGGAGATCCTGAAGCCCAGGTGGTAGAGTAGGCAAACACCAACACCTGGACCTCCAAGTGCCTCAGTGAGGGCAGGGGAACCTAGTGGAAAGCAGCTCAGAAAACCACCAGGTGCCTCGGCACTCTACTGCAAAGGAATCTCCTAGTGCATTAGCAGAAAGGAGGGAGGCAGCATTGCAAGGGGCCCTAGGCAGATAAACACCCTGCAGCACCCATCTAAAAGGAGCTGAAGAAAGCTAAAGGAAAGGAAAAGCAGTCAACCTAGAATTGCCTGAAAGTTCCAGCCTTGCTGATTCCAGCCCAACATCAGGTAAGCTGCCAGAACCCTAACAGCCTCCAATTGCCAACATAAGAGGCCCCAGCATACAAAGCCAGTGACCAAGACCTAGGCTCCCAACACAAGAAGCTTGGGTCAATGCCCTCTGTTCCCTAGTAGGAGAGCTCAATCTCTTTAAAGGCCAGGAATAAAGAAACACCATGAGTAAAAAGAAACGTACCATAGATTCATAAGATGAGAAGAGTGAAGATCAAGACAGAAGTTCTGACAAGGACAACATTGTCAACAAACCCACATCTGCAACATCAAAAGGGAATAGGAACTGGTCTGAAGCCCCAAAAGCCTTCTTAGAAGAGCTCAAGAAGGATTTTAAAAGTCTAATGAGAGAGGTAGAAGAGTCCTTAAAAAATACAATTGGCCAATTGGAAAAAAAAAGTACACTGAAGAAAACAAGTCCCTAAAAAACACAATTGGCAAACTGGAAAAAAAAAGTACGTTGAAGAAAACAAATCACTTAAAAATACAATTGGCCAATTGAAGAAGGAAGTACAAAAACTAACAGAAGAAAACAATCTGTTAAAAACTAGAATTGGAGAAATGGAAACTAATGACTCTATGAGAGCAAGAATCAATCAAACAGAAGCAAAAAAGAAAAAGAAAAAATAGATGAAAACATAAAATACCTCATCGGTAAAACAACCGACCTGGAAAATCAATCCAGGAGACACAATTTAAAAATCATTGGGCTGCCTCAAAATCATGATGAAAAAAAGATCCTGCACCATATCTTTTTCTTTCTTTCTTTCTTTCTTTCTTTCTTTCTTTCTTTCTTTCTTTCTTTCTTTCTTTCTTTCTTTCTTTCTTTCTTTCTTTCGCTTTTAGGCAATTGGGGTTAAGTGACTTGCCCAGGGTCACACAGCTAGTAAGTGTCAAGTGTTTGGTCTGAGGCCGGATTTGAACTCAGGTCCTCCTGACTTCAGGGCTGGTGCTCTATCCACTGCACCACCTAGGTGCCCCCTGGACAGTATCTTTCAGGAAATCATAAAGGAAAACAGCCCTGAAGTCCTAAAACCAGAAGGTAAAATAACCATAAAAAGAATATACTGCTCACCACCTGAAAGAGATCCCAAACTGACAATGCCAAGGAATATAATAGCAAAATTCCAAAATTACTAGATGAAAGAGAAGGTGCTGCAAGCAGCCAGAAAGAAACAATTTAAATATCATGGAACCACAGTCAGGATTACACAGGACCTTGCAGCTTCTACATTAAAAGACCACAGGGCATGGAACACGATATTCCCTAAGAAAAAGGAGCTTGGATTTCAGCCAACTATCAACTACTCTGCAAAAATGAGCATGATTTTTCAAGGGAGGAGATTGATATTCAATGAAATAGGGGACTTCCAAACCTTCCTGATAAAAAGACCAGAGCTCAACAAAAAATTTGATCTTCAAGTACAAGATTCAAGAAAGACATAAAAAGTAAATGAGACAGAAAGATACAAAATGTTGTTAATAAGGGCAAACTGTGTACATCCCTACAAGGGAAGATGACACTTGCAACTCTTGAGAACTGTATTGTTATTACACCATGTTAAAGGAGTATACATAAAGGGGGTGGATATTAGTTGACTTTAATGTAAAGATAAAAAAAATCTGATCAAGTGGGTTAAATGGATCCAAGTAAGTGGATTAGTCTGATCTTAGAAAATGTACTGAGAAAGGAGGAGGCAGACAAGGGTAAATTACATTACAGGAAAAGACAGAAAATCCTATTACAGCAGAGGGAAAGAAGGGAGGGGGTTGAGCATTGTTTGAACCTTACTCTCATCAGATTTGGCTCAAGAAGGGCATAACATAATCAATTAGGTATAGAAATCTAACTTGCCCTATATAGGCAGTAGGAGGGAAAAGGGGAAAGAAAAGGGAAAGGGATAATAGAAGGGAGGAGAGAGTGAAGGAGGCAGTGGTCAAAAACAAAACACTAGTGAGGGGGGGAAGGAGAAAGGAGAAGGAAAAGCATAAACAAGGGGGGGAAAGATGGAGAAAAAGACACAGATAGTAATCATAACTGTGAAAGTTGAATCGATATCTTTTTTTTCCTCTTCTGTTGAGTTTTGTTTCCTCTTTCTGATGGTTCCTCCTATTGGTTTTAATTTAATTTTTACTTACAACTTCACTAATGTGAAAATGTGTTTAATAGGAATGTAAATGTATAGTCTATATCAGATTGTGCGCTATCTTGGGGAGGGTGGTGGGGAGGAAGGGGGAGAAAAATTTTAAACTCAAAAGCATATGGACGTGATTGTTGATAAATCAAAATAAATTAATAAAATAAAAAAAAATTTTAAAAGGTCATCTAGTCGAACTAGGTACCATAATGGATAAAGCCATGCACTTGAAGTGTGGAAGACCTGAGCTCAAATCCCATGAACTCTCTCATATTGCAAGGAAAAAAAACAGGCCATGAAAGGTTAAGTGACTTGTCATATAAGTAGTAAGTGGGTTCTATAAGAAAGGGTTCCCTTTGAATCCCCCTTTTGAGTCCCAGTCCCCAACTCATCAAACTTTGAGTCTTCTTCAAGCATCAAATTGCTTCAGTGCTCCTGGCAGCCAGCTTAGAAAGAGAGAGTGGAAGAGTTCAGATTGCTAAAGGAAAAGATTCTGGGAAGACATGGCAGTCTCTATCATGTCCCTATAGCCAGCTTACTGCTTTAGAGACTTAAAGGAGTTTCCCCTTATGTGAATCTAGGACGCTGTCTCTTGGTTAAGTTGAATTAACTTGCTCCCAAAGGGAGAGTGCCTGCACTCTGTTTGTACGGTATATGTCCTCCTATGTGGACTTTATCTGATCTGTGTTATGCTGTGATTTATATAAATGGGTTTCTTTGCTACTTACTGCATGTTTACTGTGAAACTGGGAAGGGGGTCAAGCCTTTAATATGCAGTTGGGGTTACCCCTCCCCACGAAATAACAAAGCAATCAGAAGTTAGACAGAACCTGATCATATCGCCTAGACTACATCTAAGAGAACAGACAGTTATACTTCTAGCCTAATACTTCCTCTCACTGAGGAAAATAAAGTGGTAGCCTGTAGCCCCAACTTCCTGCTTTTCCTCTTGATAGAAATAAAATCTCCCTTGGAGAAAGATAGAGGGAGAAGAAGATAGCGATGTCTCCTCTGCCTCCTTTTAAGCCACACTAGGACAGCCCTCACTGCATGTGAGGGACCCGCCATTCTCTTTGCTACATGTGGGAGCTCTGTCCATAGGAATATTAATTTTTGGTCACATTTTAAAGCATATTGTTGGGTTTGTGAATTACTTGCCTTCTCAATGTAGGGGAGGGAAGAAGGGAGAGAATTTGGAACTCAAAGTTTTAAAAACAAATGTTAAAAATTGTTTTTACATGTAACTGGGATAAGTAAAATACTAAATAAAAGCTTAATGATAATAATAATACTGTTGGGTTTAGGGGCTAGGTTTCTTTTTTTCCCCTAGAAGCTGGAAAAAACCACTTTCTTTCCTGTGCTTTAAATGCCAAACAAAGGAATTTACACCTGTCTGCACCTTCGATGACAACTTCAGACTAATTTGATGTCTCTTCTTATTGACCCAGAACAAAACTCAAAAGAGATGGTAGCTAGGCCCCCTTAGCAGATGCTGCTCCTTACCTTACCTTATTCCTCACTTCCCCCACCTCTGTGGTTATAGGTAACCCTGACAGGATAGAGGGAAGGATGCTTTTCTATTCTGTGTTGAAATGCCCTCCCCTTCTCTCCCCCACAAGGGTCTGGGGAGTGAATGAATAAGTAAGTTTTGGGCAAGCATGATGGAAGTTGGGGAAAGGAAAAGGAACAGCTAAGTTTTGGGGGGCCATGACCAAGGGTCTCTAACCCCCAGGTCTATAGTAACATTAATTCATGACACTTCTTAGTGTCACCTTTAAGCCTAGGGATGACTGTCTCCCTTAAATGGGAAGAAAGAGAAACTGCTGACTACACAATTTAGAAATGTCTTAGATTTCTATTCTTACACCAGAGGGTAGCAGAACCAGATTAAAATGCAGTTGGGAAATATTTAACAAACTAAATAAAAATACAATAGAAGATAACATTAATATTTGGTTTTCTAAACTGACATTTGGTTGTCAGGGCTCCTTATTTATGGTTCAGTGGCCCCTATTTCTATTTGTTCAACACCACTGTCTTAGTCCACTAACTTGCCCAAGGTCACACAGCTAAACATTTTAGTCTCTAAGCCCCAACTTTCTCATCCTTAAAATGAGGAGAGGAACAATTGTGTACTCCCTACCTCCCAAGGTTGCAGAGGGGAAAATACTTTGTAATGCTAAATGGCCTCAAAGGCAGAAAGACCAGTTCAAGACCTTGATAACACACTGGCTGTGTGACCCTGGACAAGGCCCTAAGACTAGAGGTGGAGGAGTAGGTGTCAATCTGCATTGGTCAAAGGAGTTTCCAGCATCCAAGAAACCACTCTTGGGCTGGGTGTGAGAGGAGATGGGGATAGCAGAGAAGACCTCTATGTAAATGTAGCTATTATTGTTAGCTTTCCAAATCATATCTGCTGCTCTGCTTGGTCTCAATTCCTTGGAACACAAAGCTCCTTCCAGATTAAGCTCATCACCTCTAAATTAGGGCAGTTAGGGGGTACAGTGGATAGAGCACTGGGATTGGAATCAGAAAGACTCATCTTCATGAGTTCAAATCCAGCCTCAATCACTTACTAGCTGGGTGACCTTGAGAAAGTCACTTAGCCCTGGTTGCCTCAGTTTCTTCATCTGTAAAATGAGTTGGAGAAGGATATGGCAAACCACTCCAGTATCTTTGCTAAGAAAACCCCAAATTGGGTCACAAAAAGTCACATAACAACCACAAATGACAATAAAACCTCTAAATTACCAAGCTCAGATTCTTATAATCTAGCAAATAGCTTGCTAATGTTCAGACTCCTTAAGAGTCTGCCCAGTATGATGGGTGTTCTAATAAACCTTGTCTTTGGCTGACAGAAGGCTTGGGTTGAATTCTTACAAGCAGGACCTGCATGTTGTGATCTCAGGGTCCCAGCACCCCTAAACCCCTAAACATCAACATTTTGGTGGCCCGTACAGGGAAACTGCCTAACCCTAAATTCTTCTCCAGCCAAGATTGGAAGGTATCTAAGCCTCTCCCTTCCCCTTCTTGCTCTGCAGTTGGGGTCAAGGCTTGGAGGTGCTTTTTGGGCAGGCAGTTATGAGGCTGTCTCTCACTTAGCCTGATGCTCTCAGGATCTCAGTGCACTGGGTTCCTTTGAGGCCATGGACCTGGGTACACCTTCCACAGCATAGAGGACAAGGACAGATGCCCTATCTGGAAGTGTATGCCCAATTCTGTTAATTCTCTTGGCACTAGAGAATTGGGGAAAACTGCAGTTGCTTTTTGGTTCCCTGAGCCTTACTTACTCCCTTCCCTCTACACCTCTGAATCCTCCTTCATGGAGGTTACAGGGAAAAGTTAGAACAGCTAAAAAAATCTTGGCAGATTTTGGAGCTTTTATGATTGATCATTAAGGAATTTTGAAACTCCTCCTTACAACCCTAGTCACTCCTTTGTCCTACTCCCTTTCCCTTGGGTTAAGAGGGTATCTCTCATAGGAGAAGAGAGTTTCACTCTACCCCTCACCATGTCCCTCCGCCTCCTCTCTCTTCTGACTGGAGAGGTGGATAGTGGAGTAACAAACTCTTCTCAATGTCTTCCTTCATACAGGGCACAAACTGGACTTTTTGCCCCACTTCATTCAGCATCAGCTGCTCGGGTCTCAATTCCACAGAACAAGATGCGAGATACCCTCCTGTGCCAGGTATTCCCTAGTGTACCTCCTCCACTCCCCACTACTTCTTCCATTCCTGCCTCTTTTTACATGTGGTCTCTCCGTCCCCTCCCCCAATTACATTGTAAACTCCTTGAAGGCATGGACTGTCTTTCTTTTTTATTAACTGTATCCCTTGCATTTAGCATAGCACCTGACACATAGCAGGTGCTTAATAAATGTTTATTAGATTATACTGGATTGGATTGGAACTCAGATCCCAGCCTAGGCTTCTCTAGCTCTCTGACCCATACCCTTCCCTTTAAGTTGATTCTCCTCTCTTACCAATAGACTCTCCTTCAGGCTGGCTGGAGTTGGGATCAGAATGAAGTCGATTTTCAAAGCATCTGGGGCAACAGGGCCCACTGCCAGGCAGAGCATACTGTCCAGAGCTAAGAGGTCTTGTACAATCTAAGCAGCAGAAATGATCTTCATGCCAGTGTCTCCCTGCAGCCTCTGTGCACCTGCCAGAGAAGATGAGCTACAGAGGAAGGGGAAGAACAGAGAGACAGACATGAAAAGGCCTACTTGAGATTGGGAAGGGTGAGAGGCTTGAAGATTGTAGAAAGTGAAGGCTGGGTTAGGAAGAGGCAGATGGGGCCCTGGACCAAACACTAGCCTGGAAGCTAGGAGACCTGGATTCTCAGAAGTGCTCTGCCTCTAACCAGGCACTAATCTGACCAAGTCTCTGGGCCTCAATTTTCTAATTTATAAACTGAGGGTATTGAGCTGCAATGGTTCTAAGACTTGACCCTCAGGAGGTCCCTGTCTCTTCCTCTGCCCCAGCCACCTTCTTTCTGTTCTTCTCCCCTCCCAAGGGAACCATACCTACTTGGTCACAGGCAGGGCAGCGAGGTCTGAGCAGCTCCGCATGGTGCCTGCCACAGTACAAGTGCCCCTTGTGGTAGAAATAGATCAGGTCTAGGAGGGCCTGGCTACAGGACTGACAGGTGAAGCAGCCAGGATGCCAGCAACTCCTCTCCCCCGCTCTAGCTGCAAACACCCCAGGCTCACCTGGTTTCAGATTTGCACCACACTGTGGGATAAGGAAAAGTATCAGGAAAGAGCCAAGAGAAATTCTCCATCCTCTCACCTTCTAGCCTCCTGCTTTTGGAATATTTGTACCTTTCACTTTAGCCTCTAAAAAGTAATCTCTAAGCCCTCTATTCTTTACCCCACCCTTTAGCCTCTGCCATTTCCCTCCCAAGAATGCTTACCTGTTCACACACATGCAGGCACATACACAAGCATACATAGATATACACTTCCTAGCCTCTATCATATTCTTTCCCCAAATCAGGCTTCTATCACAACTTTCCTCCACTTTTCTATTCCTCTGCGAAATTTTCTCCCAACTCTATTTCTATAATGTTCTGCTCGCCCTCCTCCTTACAGCTTCTTTTTAAAAAGTTGTTCTTTCATTTTGAACTTAAATGCATAAAGACAAAAAAAATTAACATTTTCATACACACAGTACAACACAGAGGATTCATATAAAACTATGAATTTCCATTTCACACTATTTTAAAAAATATGTAGTAAGTACTCACACTTCTTTTTTTTTAAGAACCTGATATTTCATCAATGTAGGGTACCCTAGATAAGGAACCTCCTCTCCCAAACAAGATCAGAACCTTCTCTGCAATTTACAATCTTGGAACATTGCCTAGGGCCACTGAGAGGTAGGATTAGTACAGATTAGAACCTAATACCAGGTCTTTCTGACTCTGTGGTCAGCTCTCTATCCTCTGTGACATAGTGACTCTATGGACCCCTCAACACCTCCATAATGCAAAACCAGCCCTTCCGTGTGACCCCTGGAGTTGAAGCAGAGATCCACAATGTTTAGAAGTGAGGATAAATAATAGTGACTGATAAGGGCATAATGATGCTAACTGGAGTAGGGTTCTGGAGCAGCTCACCTTCTCACACATATACCCTTCAAACCTAGGGGGCACCAATCGGATGACCCCCTGACCCAGAGCCTCCTTTCTCCGATGGGCACTGAACAGCCGAAGCTGGAATCTCTCTTCTTCCCCAAGGATTGAACAATACCGTTCCTGTCAAAATTCATAGTGATTCGTAGTACAGCAGTATTTGGGGGATGAGTAAACTTAGACCAAAGGAAAAATGATTGATTGCTAGGAAGGAGGAAAAAAAGATTATAGAGTCTTCTTGTTTGAAAAGGAAAACTGGGAAGAGGAGGCTAGTAGGTAGTCCAATAGGAGAGAGGGGAAGAAAACAGAGTGCAAGCCTAAGTCTCACCTCTTCCAGGAAGCTTTCCTTGATAACTCTCAATAGCACTGATCTCATAGCATCATAGCATGAGAAGTGACCTTAGCCATCATTTGTAACCTTAAACATCATTGTCTAAACCTTTTTTATTTACAATAATTTTTATTATTGCTCTCCCCTTGTTTCACCCCTTCATTTTTGTTTCCCAAGTAACACTGTAAAAATTTCAAGTTCTAGACACAAAGAAAGTCATCTCAATGAATACAGGATGAATTGAGATGAGCTGCTCTGGGAGAGAGGATAACAAAAGAGAGAAAGGAGAAGGGGAATTAAGCAGATGGGGCTGGCATTTGGGGCTCACATCACTGTCTTGTGGAGGCAGCTGCTGCAGGAGAGTCTGGATCCGAAGCCAGTCAGGAGAATTGCTAGGATCCACATATGAGGTCTCCAGGTCATGGTGTACAGGCACCTGAAGAGACAAGGCAGAGACCTGAAGCAGCTGATGGGAGTTAAAATGCAGTTGGGCTTCTTTCATCACCTCTTGCACTCCACGGGAACCTTTCACTTTTCTCCCCTACAGATTCTTTCTGCATTGGGGAATTCTTTCTATGTTCCCCTTCATCAAAACCCACATGGCTTGACTCATGCCAATAATCATGGAGACATTTGAAGGATTCTAGGTATACTCTCCATATCCTAAAATATCTGTTCCACTGGGGCCTAAAACTTGACCATTAGAAATTAACTCATTTGTGCTAAGTATTGCCCTCTTCCCATAATCCTCTTTTAAAATGTAACCATTTCAGATGCATGAAATCCCTGACACCATTAGTTCAAATGCTCTAATAGGTCTGATTTTCATCCAGAGAGAAGACCTGAGGGCTGCGTATCTGGAGATGGGGAGAGTTCTGTGAGATAGTTTTGACTGAAGTTGACTCAACCAGAAAAGCAAATTCCCCAGAAATTCTGCTTGTCCAGGAGGGAGAAGAGGAAAGAGCTTTTCTTACCTGAGAAGGTAGGGTATCAGTTCCTTCCTCCTCCAGGGTGCAGTAGGATTAGTCCTACAAGCAGCCTAATGTCTCCTGGTCCCTGGAAGTGGATTTATCTTGGTAGGATCAGATTTCAGACAGCATAGAGGGATCTACTCAAGGAAAGGGGTCTGTAATAATAAATCATCATAATAATAATAACTAGTATTTATATAGTGCTTTAAAGTTTGCAAAGCACTTTACAAATATCTCATTCTATTCTCACAACAGCCATGGGAGGTAGGTGCTATTATTATCCCCATTTTACAGATGGAGAAATTGAGGCAGTCAAATGTTAAGTAACTCACTCAGGGTTGCACAGCTAGTAAGTGTCTGAGGTCAGATTTGAAACAGGTATTTCTGACTATAGGTTCAGCACTCTGTCCACTGTGCCACCTAGCTGCCCAAGTTAAGAAGAAAGAGCCAGGGGCTGGGAATCAAGAGTCCTTGGCAAATCACTTAACCTCTCTATGCTTCAGTTTCCTTATTTGTAAAATGAAGAGTTTAGAATCCATGATTTCTAAGATCACTTTAGCATTCTATGATTCTCTGTTCTGTTCTTCATTAAGCAGACTCAGTCAGATCTCCTCACTATTTTCAATACATGCTATACTATAGTCTAAGATTTGGAGTCAAAAGGCCTGGGTTTGAATCTTACCTTTGCCACTGTCTAGTTGTGTTACCTTAGACAAGTTACTTCATCCCTCTAAGCCTTAGTATCCTTATTTGTGAAATGAAGGAGTTGAATTAGATGATCTCTGAGTTTTCTTCTAGCTCTGTGAATATGATTCTATGGTTTTGTCACCTTCACCTAATTTCAACCTCCAAGTCTTTTGTCTTTTCTTCCTTCTACCCTCAGTACTCTCCCAGATGCCCATCCAAATCCCACTCACCTTTCTAGGCTCAGAGGTCATGCAATCTTCCCTGACCATGGGAATCCCTAATGATCTTTTCCTCCTCTGAACTCCCATTGCACTGATGGTCGCTTGCACTATGGCATTTAATTTTTCTATCATTGTTTTCCTTTTTTTTTTCCTTCCTAACTAGACTGTAATATCATTGAGTGAGGGGCAGGTAGGTGGTGAAGTGGATAGAACATCAGGCCTGTGTTCAAGAACTGAGTTAAAATCTGCCCTTACTAGCTATGTGATTTTGGGCAAGTCACTTAACCCTGTTTGCCTCAGTTTCCTCATCTATAAAATGAGCTGGAGAAGGAAATAGCAAGCCACTCCAGTATCTTTCCCAAGGAAACCCCAAAGAATTGGACACAACTGAACAACAAAAATCATTGAATGAAGATTGATGCATATGTGTCTCTATTATGGAATCTCCAACCTCCACCATTCCTTCAACCTAGCACAGTGCTTGAAACAAAATGATCAATAAGTATGTTGATTGATGATTGAGTTTTGGTCTCAGTTCCCTCATCTCTAAAATGGGAATAATCATTCTTGCACCACCTCACAGGGTTGCTATAAGGAATTGGCCTTTATAAACCACAAATCTTTATATGAATGGTAAATGGGAGTTATTCTCATTTAAGATCCTGGCAGTAGGGTCAACAGACAATATGTGGCCTTCTAGGTCTTTGGGTGCAGCCTTTTGACTGAGTCCAAGTTTTATAGAACAAATCCTTTTATTAAGGGGTTTTGCTCTGTGAAGTTTGGATTCAGTTAGGGGGCATACTTGAGGATATAGAGGGCCACATGTGGCTTTGAGGCGGAAGGTTCCCCACCCCTGGTAGACTGTTTAAGTAGTAAAGTGGCCCTGCTCCAACAACCCCTCCATCTGCCATCAGATTTCTTTATGGGTGTCCCCTTTCCTGCTCTATCCCACCTCTCCCACAGTCCATTTCCTTCCTCCTACCTTCCCTAGGGCTCTCTTGTATATTTCCTGTAGGGAGGAGACCAGACCTGAGGGTTTACCCTCTTACATCCCCCTGTTTTCAGTCATTTTCTCACAGGATGCTGAGCACATGAGAAAGAGAATCTTTGAATCATCATCTCAGAATTGGAAGGAACCTCAGAAAGTCATTGTTGCCAAACTATATCTGAACAACATCCCTGGCAAGTGGTCATCTGGCCTCTAATTGAAGATCTTTTCTAAGGGGCAATTCATTAGCTTCTCAGGGGAGGGAGAAAAAAAATCTGGAACTCAAAAATCTTATGAAAGTGAATGTGAAAACTAAACAAATAAATTAATTAATTTTTAAAAAGTCACTAGCTCCTCTTCAGCAATCCCTTCCACTTTAGGACACCTCTAACTGTCAGAAAGTTTTGCCTCCCCTTATAACTTCCACCAGACTTTGCTGATAGTTCTGCCCTCTGGGGCTGAGTAGGGCAGGACTACTCCAGAGCATAAAAGGTTTAGTTGTGCATAACTGGTGAAGTGGGAAAAATACTGAGTGTGGTGGCAGAGGATCTGGGTTCCAATACTAGCTTTGCTAAATAGCTATGTCACTTAACCTTTCTCTGTTTCACTTCCCTCCTCTATAAAACGAACCAGCTGGCCTCTGAGATCCCCTCTAGTTCTAAATCTAAGATCCTATAAAAATTATTATTACTTCATTTGAAAACTGTGTCCCCCTGGGTGTTACTGTCTCTCATAGGCTCTCATAGGCTCTCATCATCCTGAGACATATATACAGACTTGTCAGAAAAGAAATAGCTACCTGACATGGAGGATAATGTTTTCTAGCGGCAAACATAAATGATTTTATTTTGCATGCTCTCTATCTTGACTCTCCTCCTTAGGTAGCTGCCTGCCTTGCCAACCCTTAGTTTCAGCCTTTTCAGAAAAACAGCTTTTTCAACATAGGAAGATAGCAATCCTGTGTCCTTAGGTGCTAGAGAGAGGTCGAATATGGATGGAGCTGGATTGCAGAAGGGAGCTCCGTAAATGATGTTGACTTGGACACAGGGAATTCCTATTCCCTTAAAATCACACTGTACAGAAAATCACTTCCACCTCCAACACCTCCAACACCTCCCAGGCTCCCTTGGTCCCAACCCCTAGGCCCTCCCCATTCACTTGCCTGTAGCTTTCTCTCCTCCAGACCCCAAGGTTTGCTTAAGAAGTCGTCGAGGGGCCAGACGCTGCGAGATTCCTAAGGAGCGGAGGATGGAGAAGACCCAGTTTGTTTGGTCCCGGGATAGGGGTACTCAGTATGCTGGTGAGCATAAATTCTCCTCCTCTCCTTACCTTAACCAGACTCCAGCTCCGCCGGGGGCAGTGCCCTTTGGGGCCCCAGCGCAGGCCGGATGGGTGGGGAGGAGAGCGGAGAGAAGGGAAGGGAAAGAGGCAGGATTCCTGCGTGGGATCCGCCTCCAGAGATCATTCTAGCAGCCAAACCAGTAGGGAGGGAAACAGGGCACATGGGGAACAGGAAGGAAGCAGAGCTACTTCTCTGTTCATGACACCTTTTTCTTCTCCCTCCCCTCCAGTCCCCAAAGCTGTGTTAGTTTAGGGAACTTCGTGCTATCACCTCCCTCCAGGCCATTGCATCTGCCCCAGAGCCGCTCTCTATTCCAGTCCTCTCTCCTCCCCAGTCCCTCCCCTTCCAATTTCACCCTTAGCCAGACGACTGCGGGAAGACAGAAGTCTGAAGCACTGATACTGGAAATAAAAAGATTGTGTGGGGTGCGGGGAGAGAGGGCAGGCAGGAAGAACGCTCCCGTATATCCCGGTACAGAGCAGTGACATGAAGACTTACCCTCTAGGACTACAAATACAGACAAACACAATAAAATATGGGAACTTGTATATGTTTGCACACATCTATAGATCATTCATTTAACGTAAAAAGAAGATACACCCTTCTGTCTTTCTACCCAGAACGTGTACTGAGTCTTCGCCCCTCCCCTTTATGTAGTCCAATCTTCTCAGGTGTTTAGCCCTTTCCACTCCCTCCCTAGTAGTGTCTCTTAGCTCCTCCCTCTCCTCACCCACAGTGTCTCCCAACTTCTTCCCCTCAGCTCTGGAATCTCTCCGAAGCAGCAAGGCACCTGAAGGAGAGACAGGACTTGGCTTGTTCAGGCAGCACCACCGCACCTCAGACCACCAGCACCTCTCCATCCTGTTGGAGGCAGGCCAGGACCGTGAACCCAACAGTCTTGTGACTAACAGTGCACCTTAGACCACCAGCCCTGCTCACCAACCTCCTCAGACATCACTGAGGGGAGCAATCAGTATAGAGAAGAGACCCATTTTCTCTGTCACCACCAACACCAACTGCTAACCATCTGCCACAGATGGGCAGGTAAGGGGTGCCAGCATTTCCCAGCCTACCTTCTAGCACAGCCCTTGAAGCCATTATCAAGGGGAAATTAACTTCTGTGGATATGTGGCTGCTTCTGAGGGTTATGCGGTCACAGCTACTCAAGACCCAGTCTTGGCACAGTCACAAGTTCAACATCAGAAACCAACGTTGTTTTACCAGTGGCAATGAAATTTTAAAAGCTGTTTTAGCATCGGCTTTGCTGTTGCACCCTAAGGACCACGGGACTTTAAAAAATCTGATCTGCAGCTGAAATCTACTAGATGTATTGTGTCCCTCATTAAAATATGAGCTCCTTGAAAGCAGGGACTGTATTACTTTTTTTTTTCCACTAGAACTTAGCTCAGTGTTTTGCACATGGAGTTTGATTAATGCTTTCTCATTCATTCATTTATTCATTCTCTAGCCCACTTCTTTCTTACCAGTGTCCTTTAATTTCCTTTCCTTTCTCCAGGTTTCCTTCATTTTCCTGCAGTGACCCCTATCCCTCTCTTCTTTAGCATCTCTCCGCCTCCTCTCCTCTAGCTTTCTTTTCTCTCCTGCAGTGTCCTCCCATTCAATCCAATTCATCAAGTATTTATGAGGTACTTATTAAAGTGTGGCTGTCACAAATACAAACAATCCTCTACCCTGAAACCTCCAACAAACAAGAAATGGCCTCTGCCCTCAGTGAGCTTACATTATAATAAGAGAATACAATATGTACCCATATAAGTCAATACAAGATGTATATACAATAAACAAACAATGTCTTTTTAGGGGGAGCACTAAGAACTGAAGGAACTAGGAAAATCTTCTTATAGGAACTAACACCAAGCTGAGCCTTGAAGAGCTATGGGTTTTGAGAGGCAGAGGTGAGGAGGAGGGAAAACATTCATTCATTCATGCCTTAGTTCACAGAGGCAGAAGATAGAATGTTGAATATAAGGAAGGAAAGAAACAAGCATTTATTAAGTGCCTATTGTGTTCTAGGAACTGTATTAAGTGCTTTACAAATAAATCTTATTAGATCTTCATAACAACCTTGGAAAGTAGATGCTATTCCTATCCCCGTTTTACAGTTGAGAAAACTGAGGCAGACAAAAATGAAGTGATTTGCCTAGTATTAGACAGAGAGTGTCTGAGGCTACATCTGTACTGAGGTCTTCTTGATTATAGGTCTAGCACTCTATCCACTGCACCATCTACCTACTTCTGACATACAAGTACTTGTGTCAGTGATGAGGTAGAAAAGAGTACTTGAAGCAGATGGAGCAAGCAGGACATGAGATAGGAGACATGATACATGATGTGACCAGCCAGAAAAGTGATCAAAGAAGACTATGCATTGAAGCCCCCTCCATGGACTTATCAGTGTGCTTTCACAAAGCATGCTCAATTCCAGAGCAACTTTTTCCATCCCCTTTCTTGTTCTCTTTGCGTATCACCTCCAGACTACCTGATATCCCAGGCACCTTGGAGCCATGCTTGCTCTTTCCATTCTCTTGTCCCCTACCCTCTATTCCATAAAATTGTACTTAAACCATACCTTTGGCCTGGCTAACTGCCTTTGCCTCCTATGGGAATCAGGGGCCACTTTCCCGTCCCTTCCCTGTCCCTTCTCTGGATGCAGGTAGTGTCTTTTTTCATATGTCCTTTATTGTTGGTTTGTGTATTTATAATAGACAAAATAACTCCTCATATTCTCTCTTCCCTAATATCTGCCCTCATACTAGGGAACTTCCACACACATATTGACTCTCCTTTAAACACCTTAATGACTCATTTCCTCAACCTACTCATTTCCCATGACCTACTCCTTTATTCCACTTCAGCCATGCAAGAAAGATAATCATACTCATGCTGAGTGAAGTGAGCAGAACCAAGAGGACTCTGTACACAATAACAGCCACGTTATGCAATGACTAAGATTGTTAAACTGAACCTTTCTCAGCATTATGAGGATCTAAGACATTTCCAGAGGCCTCGGGATGGATAATGCTGTTCACATTCAAAGAAAGAACTATGGAAGTCGAATCACTATCACTTATTTTTACCTTCTGTTGAGTTTTGTTTCATCTTTCTGATGGTTCCTTGTATTGGTTTTAATTTTTACTTACAACTTCACTAATGTGAAAATGTGTTTAATGGGTATGTAAATGTAAAGCCTATATCAGATTGTGCGCCATCTTGGGGAGGGTGGGGGGGAGGAAAAGGGAGAAAAATTTTCAACTCAAAAGCATATGGAAAAAATAAAAAAAATTTAAATTAAAAAATAATTAAAAAAAAAGAGAAAGATGATCATACGCTTGATCTTGTCATCATCCACAAGTGCGCCATCTACTTGCTCAAGAGTTCTGAAATCCTTTTGTCTGACCATAATCACTGGCTTTCTACCTGTCCCTCTTCCTTCTCTTAGCAAATCCTACTTTTTGTCCACACATGACCTCCAAATTCCTTGACCCTTTACTTTTCTCCTGGCCATCACTCCTGCTCTAGCTGCTGCTTTTGCTGATCTTAACCTCTGGGTGAACTAGTTAAACTCTACATTGTCCTCTTCTCTTGAGTCCCTATCTGCTTGCCTTATCGTTTATATTGCTAATTGTGCACTGCCAAGCCTCATCCTTGGATGGCTCCCACCATTGGCCTTCTTTGCTCCTACACATGGACTGCTGCTGAACAAAGGTGGAAAAAAATCATGTAACTGTTCTGACTTCATCCACTACAAATTTTTGTTCTACAATTCTATGTCTGTTATCAACTCACTACCCCACTCTCCACAGTGGCTCTTCCACACTTTTTCATCCCTTCTCAAACTTCCCATGGCTTCCTCTCCCTCCAACCTCTCAGCAGAGAACCTAACCTCAAAATTAAAAAAAAAATGAAATCATTCACTGTCATCCTCTCTCTTCTTCCCTCTTTCTCATCTCATGTTACCCAGATGCCTTTTGCCACTATTTCCTCCTTGATTCTTGTCTTACAGGAAGAAGTAGCCTTACTTCTTACCAAGGCTAACCCTTCTACCTGCACAAGTGATCCCATTCCATCTCGTTTTCTCTAGCAGATTGTTTTCCTCTGTCATCTCCAATCTCACACTTATCCCTAATCTTTCCCTCTTTACTAGCTCCTTCCTTACTATTTACAAATATGCCCATATCTCCTCCATCCTCAAAAAACCCTCCCTTGATCCTGCTATTATCCTACGTCTCTCTTGCCCTTTTTTGCTAAACTTGAGAAAGCATCTATAATAGATGCTTCCACTTTCTTTCCTCTCACTCTCTTAACCCCTTACAATCTGGCTTCTGACATTATGATCCTACTGAATCTGCATTCTCTAAAGTTACCAAATCCAAAGACTTTCACCTCAGTCCTCATTCTTTTTGACTTCTCTGCAGCCTTTAACATTTTTTTTTTTGGTAAGGCAATTAGGGTTAAGTGACTTGTCCAAGGTCACACAGTTAGTAAGTGTCAAATGTCTGAGGCCAGATTTGAACTCAGTTCCTCCTTACTCTAAGGCTGGAACTTTATCCACTGGGCCACCTAGCTGCCCCAGCCTTTGACATTGTTGATCATATTTCTCTCTCTCTCTCTGTCTCTCTGTCTCTCTGTCTCTGTCTCTCTCTCTCTCTCTCTCTCTCTCTCTCTCTCTTCTCCTCCTTCCCTCCCTCTCCTCTCCCCCCTCCCCCTGTTGTCCTCCTACCTATCAGATTGCTCCTTCTCAGTCTCTTTTGCTGTATCCTCATTCAGGTCACATTCTCAAACTGTGGATATCCCACAGGGTTCTATCCTGGGTCTTCTTCTCTTATCCCTCTATATTATTTCACTTGGTAGTCTCATAAGCTCCCACGGATTCAACTATCCATCTCTATTCTGATGATTTTCAAATCTACCTAACCTTTTCTAAGCTTTATGTTAACTGACAATCTCACATCTCCAATTGCCTTTCAGACATCTCTAACCAAAAATGCATTAAACATCTTAAAATCAAAATTTCCCAAACTGAACTCATTATCCTTTTCCCTAAGCCCTCCCCTCCCTCAACTTTCCTATTGCTATCAAGGGGACCCACCTCCCAGTCCCTCAAGCTTGAAACCTAGGTGTCATCCTTGATTTTCCTCCCCACCCCACCCCAATATCCAATCCATTGCTAAGGCCTATTGATTTCACCTTTGCAACATCTTTCCAGTACTCCTTTTCTCTTCTCTGATATTGTCACCACCCTGGTACCCACCCTCATCATATCACACTTGTACTATTGCAAGAGCTCGCTGGTGGGTCTGTCTGCCTCAGATCTTTCCAATCCATCGTCCATTCAGCTGCCAAAGTGATTTCACTAAAGCATAGGTCCAACTATGTCATCTTCCTACTCAAACTCCACTGATGAATGTGAAATCCTCCGGTGTTCAAAGTCCCTCCCCACCTTTCCAGTTTTCCTACATCTTTTAATTTCCCATGTTCTCTCTTTTTTTTAAACTTTACATAAGGTTTTTGTAGTTGTTCTGTTTTAAGTTCCAAGCTGTCTCCCTCCCTTCCCACCCTGCACTAGAGGTCACCATTTAACACACACATATGCAAACACCCATAGATACACAGAGATATACATACATATGTATATATATGTACATACACATACATATACACCATACCATGCATACTTCTATTCATCAGTTCTTTCAATGGAGGTGGAGAGCATTTTCCTTCCTAAGTCATTTGTAGTTGATTTGACTATTTATAATACTCAGAATAACTTAGTCATTCACAGTTACTCTTCAGATAATGTTGCTGTTACTATATGCAAGATTCTCTTGGTTCAGCTCAT